CGGTCGCGGAGGTTCTTCTAAATTTTCCGGCCTCCTCTTTTCTCTCTGCGTTCCTTAATTGAAGGATCGTACAGATGCCTGTTGCTCGGAAAGCTTCCTGTTTCCAGTTTGGCGCGCTCAGTGTCGTGCGACTTGATGCAAACGGCGAGTATACTGAGGCCTTTATCCCTACGCAGGGCAAAAAAATAATACTGTGACGAGGAAAGGAAGGATACTTTAATCCATTTAAATCTTCCAGTTTCTTCCGTCACTTGAGGAAGACCGTCGGATAGGCGGCATGCTGGCCCAGCTTGGATTTAAGGCTGCTCCTGGCTAATATCCGGTCTGGACGAAATGGGAAATCAGATACCGTCGCACCCACATCTGTACAAAGACCTGCTCCATCAACATCACAGACCCTTGACAGGCGGACCTCGTTCTGGGCCGACGGAGCGCAGGTAGAGAGGAGGGAGTCAGTGTTTCCATTGATGATACTTGGTGCTCAAATGGACACTTTCTTTTAATGTGAAACTTATCGTCACCATCTGCCATTCACATCCCCCTCACGCAAATTCAAAAGATACGCTGCACAGTTACTTCCTGTGTGTTTATGTGCATAAATAACTGTTTATATTGGTTTTATTTTAGGTTATTCTATACGTTTTATTATCTTTTCATGTGAATAGCATGAAGGGACTACGATCCTTCATTATACAACCATGTGTTGTATGAAGACACATTTCCTTTATTTCCCCTTTAAAGGCCGACTGCTGTTCAGTTTAACTGGTTAGGCACCAGTCCTCACCAGTCCTCACCAGTGCTCTAAATCACACGGACTGCCTTTTCTTTAGAGAAGCCTTTTGTGGGAATATTTACAGCCGTGACATATTTTTTCCTGTTTTTTTATATTATTGATTTGTACTGTAAAGGATATTTGGGCCGAAAACATTCACTCAAAACGATCCTTTTACTATTTTCCGGGTTTTTATGTTGGTTATATTATGCGGGCGGATCTGGACGTGTGGCATAGACTGGCAGCGGCCACCCATTAATAAAAATGCCTGGCCACAGCAGTTTGGTGTTCAATGCTTTTAAATTTAACATGAATTTAGATTTATTTTAAAAATAATGAGTTAAAAGTGGAAATCAATTCAATTATCTGTTCTGGCCACATTTAAGACTGAACGATGTGTTTTAGTTCAATGAATTAAGACATGAATTTAGTAAAATGTCTTCAACACCTTTCGATATTTATATTCAATCATTCAATACTTTACTAATGTGCCACAATAATGTGATCTTTGAGTTAAGACATCTTCCATTTTAGATTTTCTAAATAAATTCTGATAGATGACGGTGATTGTTTGCAGGGAGATCAAATCAGCGTACATCTCCACACCATGAATATTTCTGTAGATCTGCCTTCGTGCATATGAAATGTCCATCATGAAGTTCACCTCAGACCACCAGATGGCATCCGTGACCAGATGGCGACTAATGTTGTCCCCGTTTAGCGTTAGTGTACCAAATGTCATTCAAATAGGCGGTTCAGTTGTGGCTCTGATGTTATCTTCCATTTAATTCATGGTGTCAGATAAGTGTGCAGAACTGCCTAATCAATGTAATGCTCCTGAGCTACAGATAATCAATCAATAACCGGTCCCCGCCCTACCTAAAATCGTTTGTCACTGAATATTACAATATCTACCAGTCCATAAATAAATATGTCAACCGTGAGAGATGTCACTGTACTATTTATACCGCTGTAGTTCCTGCTTTCACATCTCTGGTTGTATTAGCCCGTTAACCACCGAGCAGGCGTGCTTTAAAGATATGATTTGTGTCTGTATTTTATGCATTAACAAGTAATTGATTAGCCAGAAAATGGACTAAATCCTGATACATATTGCTGTTGTGATGTTGAAAAAGCACACCATTATGGAGAATCACACGGTTCTTTGTATTTGTGAATATTTGACAGACAAAAACTAATTTCATTCTGTGTACTTCAATGTGTTTGGACCAGTCACTATACCCAATTATAATCTGTTCTTTTTTAAACTAACTTATTTAAATATGAGACTGTTGGAACAGCGGGAAGCAACGGTATAACTTCAGACTTTATGAAAAGATGGTACACGGTCGGTTCACAAAGTTGGATCCTGCTGCGGCCTGCAGAGTAATTATCGGCCTCAGCTGGCAGCGAAGCAATGGCACAATCGTGAAATCAATTATCTGCTGATATTGAGCCATTTGATTACCAAAAAACAACACTGAGACCATTAGTGTATGGGATCATTATACATTCAGAAACCCAGTCACTTCCTCCATTATTACAACTCCCTCTGCATCCAGTGTTGATGTTCACATAAAGGGAAATCTGATTGTGTTGTATTAACCAAATCACCAATATGGCATCACTACGTGGTTCGTTTCACCTTTTAATCACATTTTGATAATCATTCAAATAATTGTATTTTTCATTTAAATGCCCAAACCAGTTATAATAAGGATTATGGGAAAGGGGGCGTTTACTTAACGGATTTTACATCTCCGAGATTACATTTAGTGTAAATTGATACAAGTCTAACTTCGTCCTGTACATTTTTTACACATTAGTCAATTTAGGCATATTGATTACTTCAATTAGCAGGAATTTCATCAACTTTCTGATGACCAATTATTAATTTAAGTCACTTTTTCAAGAATAAAAGCCAACACTGGAGTATTTGCTGCGTTTCGTTGACTTATGACAATATAATTAACATCTGAATAGTTGGTCTTGGCTGCACAAAATAAGTTATTTGGGCTTATTATATTCTGGGAAATTCTCAGGGCCATTTATCACTATTTTCTTACATTTTATAGACCAAA